TTTTTGAACTCGAAATATAAATGAGCCGAACACGAGCTGAGCCTAGGCCCGCTTGTGCTCGGAGTGGTTTACACCCCTAAACACAATTTAGGAAGATTTACATCCATACCACTCAATTTCAATGTATTTACACATTTAATACATCTATGCCATCTTACATATGCATGAAAAGGTATATTCACTTTTTTTTTAAATTATAAATTTAAATGGTGATATTTTGATGTGATTTGAACGTAATTAAGCATATTGTTACCCGAAAGCAAGGGTTGTGATGGCCCAAGAGATGAGGGCTGAGGAGACTGCAGATGCCAAGCTATCCCCACGCCATGCACAGAGATGAATTAGTCCGGCGACCGCCGAGCAAACTCCGGTGACTCCGGTGATCAGCGAGACCATCAGCAAATATGTCGTTGCGATGTTACCTCTGAAACCTTCAAATATTCATAAATAAAAACTTGAATATGAATAAGGCTCTTAACGGTCTGATTTCGAGTCGAGTTTGAGTTGGCTCAAAATCGGCTCGGCTTATCTATTTTGATCCAACCTCGAATCTTCGAGCTAAATATGTTAAAATTCACAGCCCTAACATCAGTATAGGGTTGTTAACCAGCTCTGCTCAAAATTAACTCGAAAAAAATTCAATGCAACATTTGGGTTGTAGCTCGGCTCGTTTATTTTGATATGATATTAATCCGAGTCAAAATTCAAATCAATTTTCGAGTGATTAACGATCTGCGAGCTAAATTCACATAAATATATATGAAAGAGCGGATCCAACAAGATAGGCACATGAAATTTAATTGATCAAAACCTTGACTTTGATATACTTTCATATTGATTACACAACTAATCATCACATATATCGCCATATTTCTCAAATTAAATCAAAAAACTTTTATGTTTTTTTTGGCGATCCCAACAATTAGCACTTCAAGTTTTTAATTTATATTTATTTTCTATTATCTCTTACTCAAGAATATTTATTTATTGACTAATTTTGCTAGGCATCGCATTATGACCATCAAATAATTTCAATATATTTTTTAAATTTGTGCTTTATTTTAATTTATTTTAATTTTATTTATTAATATTTTTATTTGAAATAAAACATATTTGATATGCTATAAATTCATTTATTTTTTTAAAAATACTCTAAATAAATTTTAAAATAAAAATATAAATGTAAGAAAAAAAAATGAGCATTTTACAAAAATGTCCAAATTAAATACAAAAATTAAATAAATTAATAGCAAATTAAATAATTACTCACGTTGACGAGCGGCGTTGTGGTCGATGTACTTATCGATGGACCAACCGGCAAGGCCGAGGACGGCAACGCACATCATCAAGTTAAGAAGAAGAAGAAGGTGCAGCACGCCTTTGCTCCATCTGCCCTCCATTTTTCTCCAATTTGCATAAATTATCTTTTGGAGATCAGTGAGGATATTTGCTTGCATTTTTATAAAGAAAGAAGAGAGAAGAGGGCCACGTGGAAGGAGATGAGGGAGAGGGGTACCACGTGTAGGGCTTTGATGGGTCCAGTTTGTTCTAACTGGCGTGCGAAACGGGAGCTGATCAATCAAAAATGGAGGGTGGTAACTGAATCGTGAGGGAACTTTTAAAATTTTGCGATAATTACATGCGGGTCGTTCGAAATATTGATATTTACAAATTAAGAAAGTGTGATTTTCTTGAATTACGGATGGATGTATTTATTTACGAGTGTCATGATCAAAAGAATTAGAATCTGATAAAAATGAAGAATATGGGTTGACGTTAGGGGTATAAACGAGTTGAACACGAGCGAGCCCAAACTCAGCTCGTGTTCGACCCGTTTATATTTCGAGCTCAAAAATTGTGTTCGTATTTGGCTCGTTTGCTTAGCGAGCCGAACCCTTATCATGTAGCCATAAGATGTTAAGGGTTGGGGCAAGATTTAAAAATTATTGTTTATATTAAAACATCATTTGAATCTAATTTCATAATTCTTATTCTATTTTATTAATTATTACTTTTAATTATATATAATTGATGAGTAGTATTTTGAGCCAAAACAAATCAAACACAAAGGAACAAATCTTTGTTCGTGTTCAGCTCGTTAACTTAGCAATCGAGCAAAACTCGAGCTTCTTAACAAGTCGAACGCGAGTCGTTTTGACAGCTCTTGCTGACATTTTATCATGAATTTCGATATTTGATTGAGAATTTGAAAAATGGATGTAAGAGAGCAATTGATTTGTAAATAGCAAGTTTCTGGTGATCTATAATATATATGTAATCCACCCTTCAAAATTTTGCTCTTTTAATTGAAAGAGATGAACATGAACATCAATTTTATTTTAGTTAACTATTTTTTTTTTTTTTTTAGATTATTAAATAATGAATCAAGGGTCATGGAAAAGATTATTTATTTAATTAAGCTTAAATGATACATTATTATTAAAATCAGAAATGTTGTTCGTGCTATCAGAATAACCAATTGAAAATTTTGTATAGCAAATTCTCTGGAGTCCACAAAGATTTATGTAGTTCCTGGCATGTTAATCCTTGATATACTAAAAATATATGCATTTTTAGACCCATATTTTATACTCATTTTTTGTGATATTATACTTTAATGGAAGATATTTTTCATGCTTTCTTGCATATTGTTGATTTTTAGGACTTGGAGCAAAAATGAAGCAAAAAGAATGAAATTTGGAGTCAAAATGAAGAATATGAAAATTTGTTCGGCACTGACGACGTTGTTTGACAGAGAGCAGCGAATTAAATAGAAGACCACTGGTGCCGACAATGCCAGAATGGGCGCCGACGACACCAGTGTCGGTGCAGCCCCTGTTTCTAGAAGATTCGAGAAATTTTTACGCTTTTTGAAGAGTTTTTGGATGCACCTATTGGAGAACCGACTCTAGGTTTTATTCGGGGCTGAAATTGATCAGAAAAGTGACTCTTTCTGACTTCATATCACCCAAAATTCAACCTCTTACACACCACACTCTTCCATTTCATTTCACAACCATTTAGAGTCCATCATTCTTATAATTTAGAGTTTTTGTGGTGAGATTAAGTGTGAATTATTCTCTAAGAGTTGTTGGAGAAGAAGAAAAGTGAGAGATTTCTTCTTCCTACATTTTCTAGGAGAAGCTACAAGGGATTTGTTTTGAGAAAGAGTTTCCGATAAATGTTATTTGTTTAATAGTGGTGTATGAACTGTCTTTTATATATGAAATTTGTGTTTTGTTGTATCTTTCTCATGAAGTCTGAGTAGTTTCATTTATCATTCTCTCAACTCTGAGATATGGTGAAATAAAGAGATAATATAGATGTGCCAATGTTAAAATATAAAATAAATTGAGATGGTTTTTCAACTCCGAACTTAATTTACTTTTCGATCTGATCAATTGAATTGTTAAAATTTGTTGTGAAACATATGATCTGGGAAATGGAGTATGAGTTCTACAATAGAGTGAGGATCACATTTGATTCTATGAATGAGAATTTCGTTCATGGAATTAAGTGCAAATAAATAAGGAAATATAAATTATTGGGTGTAGAATTGGAGATTTTAGGGTGACAGACTAAAAATCCTCAATTCGGTCTTAATGTTTATGAACTAAAGCCAGAGTTAGCCTTCAGAGGAAGGGAAGTGGGAGCTCTGGAGTGGGAGCCAGTATCCTCCTAGCCTAACCACGAATTTAAGGACTAAACTTGGGATTAACCAATGATATTCTATAACACTGTATCAAGGTTAAAACTGCTCCTATTTTGCACAATACATATTCTAACCATTTATCTCATCTCATTTTACTAAAATCTCATTATAGTGGGAAAGATGTTTTTTCACATAAGAAATATTCATCACATAAACATAGTTTAATAGTTTAATAGTTTAATAGTTACTGTTTAAACTTTGCATTTCAGTTTCGCTTGAATTTCATTGTCAGCATTCGAAATTAGCGATTCAAAATTAGTTCTGATAATATCTCAACATTCGAAATAGTTCTGATAATATCTCAACATTCGAAATTAGAACTTTAAATAATTTAGTTCTGATAATATCTCAACATTCGAAATTAGCGATAATAATTTCGTTTTACTTTTTGTGAATTTCATAATTAATTTATCATTTCAAATTTAAACTTCCCCGTGGGATCGATATTTGGGGCTTAAATAGAAAGTCATTTATTACTTCAAAGCATCATTTTTTTTGGTACCGTTACATAGCGGAGTCAACTTTATAATTTTTACTTTGTGTAGAATCTCAACATTAATTGTTTAAATTTCTTAATTATATACAAAGCATCATTTTTTTTGGTACCGTTACATAGCGGAGTCAACTTTATAATTTTTACACTACTATATTTCTTCGGGATCAATCCTCACAAATGCTTGATGATGATCCATATCCATATCTTGCTTTAATTAACCTTAATTAATAGTGCAACCTAATTTTATGTTGATTTAATTAGTTATGGTGTCCTTATGTTTTGCCTTATTTAAGCTTCATCTATACTTGTGGCCTTAGTAATTATTAACCACCTTATTGCTTTGTACTCGCACATCCAAAAAATTTTAGGATCAGTCTAGCCCAATAGTTGCACCCATCGATCCACTCTGGGTTTGTTAATTTTATTGTGTCATGGTTGATTCAGTAGTACATCTCCTTGGCTTGTTAATCTAAGGTAGTTCTAAGTCCCCTAGTATCCTCGTTCCTTATTTTTGGCATTGAATACCCAATGAACCTTAACAACTTAACTAACTTAGTATAGAAATCCATAAATATGCCTAAGGTTTGTTGATTTTATTTTTCCATGGTTGATTTTAAACACCTTAGCTTGTCATATTAGGTTTTAATCTAAGTTTCTAGTTGAAATTCTAAATTAAAATTCTTAAAATTGAAATTTGAAATTTGCAGTAACAATTGAACCACCATTTTAATCAAATTTTTTTAGGATATAACCTATCTTGGATGTAATTAACTCAGGGGTTTGCTCCCTAATTTAAAGAAACTATACCCTAAAATAGAATAAACATATCATACCCCCATATGTTAGTGTATTTTTTTTTTAGCAACATAGATTTCAAGTATTAAAACTATCATTTCATGATTAAATCCATCACTGAGTTGCATTTTTTTCCCTTTTGATATGATATACTATTCATGATGTTGTATTCGATTATGAAAAAAAGAGTACAATTATCACATGTTTCACACATTCCACCTTCAATAGAATGAACAACATCCATGCATATATACTTACACAAAAAGGCTTGAACACTTCCCCCCAAAAGGAAAAAAAAAAACACAACAACAACAACAACATGTCTTTATCCCATTAAGAAGTTGAGGAGTTGTTAAGTTGCCGGCTGTTATGATAGATATCCTAACACCCATTTTAATTTAATACATATATAATTTAGAAAAAATAGTATTTTAAAATTTTGAAAATACAAGACCGAACTGATCTCATATCCCAGTAATTTAAATAAACTAGTATAATACCGCAAGCAATGTATCTACCCCGACGGATAAGTACACTACTTACTGGTAAGACTCGATTAAATAAACTAAAGATTGTATGACATCCGTTTAAATCTGCAAAAATCATTTTATTTATAAGTCGATAATTTCCTCTATTTAATACGAAGAATTAAATAGGGTTTATATTAAGCTGGGATTGATAATGCTTAACTAAAGTCACCTAAGAAAACTCTCGATAAAAATCAGAGGATATTATCTTCAAAGAGGTTACAGGATTATGACTTTTCAACGAGATCAGACAAAGAGGTGTGAAAGGAGAATTGCTCGAGTTTGAAACATTTTATTGTGGAATTCAAAGGAAGAAAAACTAGGGGATGTCATAGATCCGGGGGAGAACCCGGTGACTTCTCAAGCTATTCTATGTTTGACTTCAGCTTTGGAGATTAGAATTATTTAATGTTTAACCCTGCCAATTCTATTAATTAGGACTCATATTCGTGTGAAACGATCACACAAATAGCCTGGAAGATATAAGGATTTAGGTCGTGACAGACGACAACCTCAAAATCCTAAAGCGGGTTAGGGCTTAAATTGCATAGCAGAGCTATACAAGGGCCTAAAGATAAATTGAGAATTTATGTTGCATAAGCAAACAACCTCGAAATCATATGTTTTGTTATTTAATTCTAAGAAAAGATATTCTGTTGTAGATCCTCTTGTTGTTGAAGATGGTCGTGCTGCCCACAATGCTAGCTCTAAGTTCCTCGTCATGACGAGTTTAAGTTTTCTAATGTGTCAAGTTATGATGTCAAATCAGATGTCCCTATGGCTATGTTCATTTAAATATTATGGGACATATTAAAGTTGATTAGAGTGACATCGGTTAGAATCCTATGGTTCCCTCGTTCCGACACCACTATTTTCTTTCGGATTCACTTAGT